TTTAAATCACGGGTCCCTTAGTGGGTTGATCGTAAAGACACACGGTTCCCAGCAGAACACAGAAGTCAAGCATCACTGGCTCTGCGGTCAGTTAGCAGGTTTGTAACCACTTTGATCAGGCTGCGTAGGGACCGAAGGGGTGCGGTATCGATACTCGTTAAGCTGTTCTACCATAAAATGCGCGCAGACTACCAAAGAACGGGAGCCATCCTCTCTCCGCAGAGGATCGAAATTGCAATGGCCTGTCTTCGGATCATCCTCAGGGATGTTTCCCAGACCGTCGCCAATAGCCCATTGTGCAGCTCTAGTGTGCCGTAAATAAAATACCTGCCCAAAAATCATCATGTATTACTGCAACAGTATCATTTTGTTATTATAAATAATCCGCTTTATTTTTAATCCATTAAACTGAATCAATCCTATCTTACAATGTTGATTTCTTTTGGAATAAATGATAGAGCAAATATATTTTTGTTTTCAAATATGGTATTCTAAACAGCAGTTTGTAAAATAAATAAAGAAAAGTTTTTAAAATTTAAACAATAAAAAAATATTTTGTGAAGATAAATTATGTTTTTTTATTCTGTTATGAAAATTTCAAATATTTTGCAATTGAAAGTCTCAAATTCAGATAATCTTATAAAACAGTGACTTAACTGTAAATAATATGTAAGTTATTTTAACCATTGCATTTCAACAAGTCAGAATTATTTTTTTTAAATCTTTATAATGTGTTTTTATTTTTCTGGGTGTATTTAAAGCAATACAGTCGGATTTCTCTTTAACGAACTTCAATTTTGTGAATTTCTTTATTTTGCGATTTTTTTTCGAGGTACGAAGAACATTTTGGAAATTTCTTCGTAAAATAACTTCCAAATAGCGAAGTGAATTTTCTTCAAAATCCAATTTCGCAAAATATTTCAGAACATTTCAAACTAGTTAACACATTTTATATGGGAAATGACCATGAACTGACTTTTGCAGCCACTTAAATTTTAGAGAAAGAGGTAAAATCTTTATCTCGTTTCATTTGCATTTCATACAGGAATCCATGCAAAAAAATTAATTTACGAGAAAGTATAACAGAAATTTCTAAAACATGAAACTATGATGTTACAGATCTTACTATTCCTAACCGTTTCGCTAGAGCTGGACTCTTAGTCAGTGCGGAGAATTTGGAAAGTACTGAGGATGATATTCCTTTAGAACTAAAAAAATGTGAGTACAGCTAAGAGAGAACCACGAAATTAACGATGATGTAGTACTGATGAATGATTTTCTTTTTATTGATCCTGAAGCCACAGAAACGTTAACTGAGTTGGATATTTCGGACAGCGGGAAAAATAAAAACACAGCAACAAATTATGAAGAAGACAGAAATGCTGAAGAGATCACCAAACCTTCCTATGCTGAAATGATAAAATCATTTGAAACAATTTGATAGTAGATAATAATATGTATCTATTTTAACTATGTCTAGTGTTTATGAATTTAAAACCTATTTTGTGTTCAAATGGTGATTTGCTATTTAACGAACTTATTGGGATTCAGTGACTTCTTTAATTAGAGGTTCAACTCTATCTGCATAAAAAGAAAAAAGTATCTAAAAAGCATTTTTAGTTTTGAAGCATATTAAGTTAGATTTTTATATGCATTATGCAGGGCGGGCAAATAGGAATTCAGTGGTTCATGAAATGCCCATCAATTGTTCTGCTTCTACTATTTCAATCAGGATTACAATTATTTATCACGCCAGCTTTATTTTGCTTGCCATATAAAAGGTTTAGAACAAAATAATTATAGGTACATCAAAACATCTAAATATTCTTCTTTAAAATATCCTGATAGTTGTGAAATACAATTTCTCATTTTAATATGAATATCTTATTAGATATTTAAAGGTGCAAATAAAAACGTTATAGATATAAACAGAATTTATATAAAAGAATTGGAAATTTAAAAAAAAAAAAAAGGATTTTATCAAATACTAAAGGTGGCAAACCCTTCCCTTGCATATTCCTACATTTCGCTCTTCCACTATACACTACAAAAATTCACCACAACCCTGATCGGGGAGAAAATAAATGAAAATATTTATACTGAAGAGGACGCTTAGTAAAAAGTCTGTTATTGTTTACAGTTTTATTTCAATACAAAAATAAAATTCTTATTCTAAAAACATTGTATTATAATTTCGTCTAAGAAACACTAATCATATTGTTATGCATTCTTATTATATGATACCTCGATTAAATTTTAATATATATATATATATATATATATATACACAGTCGGTCCTTTATTTAACAAAGTCGCTATTCCTGATAAGTTTGTTATATGGAAAATTTGTTAAATAGAAAATCACCTTTTGAAATATTTAAACACAAAACAGGTTTTCAATTCTTAAACAACACTAGACATAATTAAAATAGCAACTGATACACCTTTATCTTGTTAACTAGTATCTACTATTTATGTACAAATTTATTATAAAAGTAATTTTAATCATACAATACCACATGCGTTCTTAAGTTTAATTGCTAGTGATAAAATTTGTTATTTTTGTCTGAGTTTTTTCGTTTCAGATGCAAACAAAAAGGGAAAAGGATTTTACTGCTTTCTCTAAAAGTGGTTGCGAAAATAAATTCAAGGTCATTCCACCATAAAATGCGTCAACAAGTTTGAAATATTTTAGGAAAGTGGATCTCAAAAAAAAAAAGGTCGTTAAATAGAAAATTCACTTTGAAATTTGGGAGTTATTTTACTCAGAAATTTCCAAAATGTTCTTGGTTCCTCAAAAAAATTTTTTTTTTTCGCAAAATAGAAAATAGAGAAATTTGCAAAATATAAGTTCCTTAAATAGAAGTCTGACTGATAAATATAAAGTTTGTTCAACTATTGACTTATGCAGATGGCATTGAATTAATAGGATGCACCCAACAAACTTTTACCAAGCTTGAGCCTTCTGTTAAAACATTGGATTAATTCGGATAAACTTCGGGAAGAGAGTAATTGAAATTTCGAGGACTGGACTAATTATTAGACATATGAAGGTATCAGACCAGGGCCGTCTTAATAACACACAGGGCCCACGGGCACAAAAATGGTTTGGGACCTTAGAACAGGTCATACCGCTTGAAATCGAACTAAAAAATTTCACATACACAAATAAAGCATTTTTAACACATGCAATTGTTTGAACAAATTTAAATGCATTTTGTTTTAAATACACTTAAATTTGTTTTTAGTAGACACAAAAAAACTGAATTCACATAAAAACGTCATTGGAACGTAGAAAAACAGATTTCGGTTGATTTCTTGGAGATAAACTATTCAAATTATTGTTGCTTGCATGATAATCAATCACTGCATGATAATCAAAACAAATTACACACTTTATACAGTGTTTTCCCTACAGCGCGAGAACCTCGCATATTTTTTCTTTTCTCGCATTAAAAAATTATTACCGCGAGAAATTCGCGCATTCTATAAATCAATTTCAAAATTCGTGAATTTCTCGCATTTTGGAAAAAGCCTCGAATTACGCCATTTAGAATAAAATCCGTTTCACTTTTCTTCCTGGATCTTTCATTATTTTCAACATCTGCTCCGTTTTCTAATTTCCCTATTTACCATTATTGTTCAGAACCTTTTTGAACAACAGAGCACAACCACGGAACCACTTTCAGAACACATTTCTCTAGAACCACGTGTTTACCATAGGTAACGTTTCTTCATGTAAAACGTTCCAATTTTTAAGTGCTAATGTAAGATGGACAAATACCTTGTAAAGGCAAAATCTTTTATGATGATGCACGAAAAATATTCAATGCTTTAAAAAATAGAAGACGTTAAAAATGTATTATAATTAAAGAAAAGATTTTTTTTTCAAGAGTTTTTGTGTTTTTTTAGTTTTTAGAAATCTCACATAACTTTTTGAAATCTCACCCTGTTTTTGAGAAAGGGTGAGAAATTCTCACCCATTTTTTTTGCTATGATGAAAACACTGCTTTATACAATAGAATATATTTCATTTAAAAAATATTTAAGGCAATTTTGTTTATTTTAAAAAATACAATTTTTAAAAAAATTCCATTCTCAAGGGCCCCCTGAGAGCCTGCTACAATTAATAATGATATAAAAACCATAGGACAACCACATAATTAATAACAGAATAAGGATGGCTAATAGGTGTGAATGAGGAACCAACTGAAATCAAAGCTTAATTCCATTGAAATTAATTTATAGTATAGAGGTTTATTGTTGTTGTTGACGTATGCCATTTAGGCAGAGGGGGTGCGATTGTTCTTGGATAATTCTTTATGGCTGCAAATACTACCCTTCAAATAAATCTGATAAAAATAAACTACTAATTTTTGAAAGAAAAATGCTCAGAGCTATTCTTGAAGCAGTTAAAGAAAACCATGTTTGACAGATTCAGTATAATTACGAATTATAAAAAAAATTTAACAGGGTGAGTAGCCAAATCTTTCAACAAAAAATAAGCAGCTTTTAAGTACTTTTTAAGCACTAAAAAACATTTTTAAGCGACAAAATAATTTTCAAAGACTTTGCATGAACATGCTATAATAAGTAATTTCTGACAAAGAACTCTTTTCTTGATTATATCAGCCATCATAAAAAGATCGTGTGGTTTTTCAGTTCGATTTCAGAGGGTGGAAAATGAAGTCTGAAATGGAGAATATCTTGCAAAATGCAACTATGCTGCATAACAATAGACGCATCTGCAGACCTGCAAGTATTTCAACAAAATTGTAAAATGATTGGAGTTTTCAGCTTGAAGGTTTGCCGAGATGCAATGTGTTTGATTGAATTATAAAAACCTAGAATAGAACAATGTGAAAGCCACGCTTTTGCATAACACGTGATGAAAATTGACACGGTAAAAAAAATTTTCCTTTTTGAAAAGGGAAAATTAAGCACTTTTTAAAAATGCTACGCACCATGTTTTTAGTAAATGACGATGAACAGGAAAGAAATGAAACAATGTGATGTCCTTTATTTTTATAACATCATTAAAAAAGATTGCAACAAACTCCTATACATCTCAACTTTCTCTCTAAATATTTCTTTCTCCTTTCGATATCTCGAGGAAGTTCGTAATGTGGTATCAATATTGCCTTATAACCCAGTTTTTCAAGTTGTCTCATCTTCATTGCCGTCACGCCCGTTCGGTGCCTCGAACGGTAGGCAAACGAATACGGAACTCCCATCACGAGGCATGCCCATTTTTCTTCTTTTGGTGGGGAAAATAAAATATCTTTGTCACATGACTTCTGATCACCAGACACCCGAATAACTATGTCGGGTGAAAACATGTGGGGCAATGTATGCTTCACCTCGATATTTTCTTTCGACGTAAATGCAGAGAGTGTTTCCCCGAGAAGCCGGGTGAAGGCGTTTTGCTTTTTCACGTCGACACTCCCCCTTCGTTTTTCCAGAACAGTCCAGAAATGTCTACCCAATCTGTTCCCAGTGTAATCCTTGCATTCGATTTCCGTACAGCAGTCCACCTCTGCAAACGTCAATTCCGTTTCTGGAAAAGCCAAGATGCATTTCTGCGCAAAATCAGAGTCCAGAACGACATTCAGAAGCGTGTGGTTATAATGACCGACATAAGAGTAATACAGTGCTATGTATATTAAAATTCTAGGCTGATGTGCTATTTCGTCTCGTCTGGATTCTTTCCGTATTTCGGAAAAAAGCAACGAGTTGAATTTTTGTGGGGGGTGGTGGTTGAAATGGGACAGACACTGTAACAATTTCATCATGTCTTTCAGACGTGCACGTTCGATAGTGGAGCATAATCTTTCCACTATAGAATCTAAGAGTAGTGGATGATAAACGTGGCATTCAGACGCCAAGAGAGCTAAATGGATACACGTGTGGACGTCCCATCGACACGTGTAAGCTGTACATTTGTGTAGCAAGGGTATGTACATCTCTGTATAAGAGAGTTGGATGCTTTTTTTTAAAAACTTCAGCAACGATACGAGCGTCAAATTTTTAGCCACTTCGATTTCGTCAATGAATCTTTCGATTATAATTTTTATGACAGAAATGTCATTCAGTTTATTTTTAGTCTTGAAGAAACCCAAGCAGACGATTCCCAACTCGTCGATGGAAATATTTTTCACCACTGGTACAAGCCTCACTTTCAAAGATTCCGAAGAATCGAGTCGCAGCTCCCTCTGCAGATTGATGTAAAACATGAGCTGCACCATCTCGGCATCGGTCAAACCGCTCAGTCTCTGCAGTAGGTTGTCTATCATGTTCCTATTATACTGCGATATCCTATTCAGTCTCAAATGAAACCAATAGTCAGCCACTAACAGTTTTTGAGATGTACTCCAAGTTGGCAATCTCTTGACGCACTCAGAATCCAAACTGTTCCAGAGAGCTTTGAAATTGGGCGTCCATGTTTTGGGAGTAGGAGGCAAGCAACACAACAAAAAAAGGCATTTTAAAAGGTTTTCATCTGATAAACTAGGAAGACGTTTGATTAGATTTAACACTGGTAAAGAAAAAGGACCCTCTTCTAAGTTAATGTTTAGAGACATGCAATGCATAGTTACCTTTGCGAATTCAGAGAGTTCTTTATTGCCTTCTGAATAATCACTCACGCCGAATGCAACTGGTTGTTTGACTGTCGATTTGGCGTATGCAGGAATCGTCTGCAATACCTCATGAGCGTATTCATTTTCTGTCTCGCGAAAAGATTTTGCACACAAGCCGATCGAAAAATGAATTCTACCATAATGTTCCCTGCACAAATGTTGCAATTTGAGAAGGTTTAAAGAATTGATGCTGTGCTTCAACATGGTGTTATGTAAATACATACATTGTACTCGCACAGAATAAGATAAAGTTTTAGCACACAATAAAGATAAACAGTTTAAAAACCTCATAATAATAATAATAAATAAAATTCTAATAAAGAATTACTTTCACAATATTTTCGAGAGGACTAGGTTCATTTTCCATCTTTTTACACCCTATATTTATTTTAAAAAAATAGTGTATTTAGAGCAAGTAAGTGCTAAATATATTATTTAATGTGTTACGTGTATAAAAAATTCAGCTTATAGCTTGCACAAAGTAAACAACTGCTGTCAGAATGTAAGCTGTAAGTTAGTTTTGTTCACTGACGTAAAATCTTTGATCATGCTCCAAGATCGTAAACAAAGGAGCAAAATTGTATTTTTAACATGCCTTTAGTTATAATTTGTGGATTACCAAGTAGTGGTAAATCTTTCTTTGCTAATAAAATCTATAAGCACTGTAGTTTATCAAAGAAGTGTATTTTAATCAGAGATGAAGATGTACCAAACGGATTTAAGAGAAATGATGTTTATGCATGTAAGGACGCGGCTATACCTAATGTTTATTTTTTTCATGTAAAAGAACAAATGTTTTTTTTTATTTTTAAGATTGTCAAGGGAAGGACAAATTTTCTGAATTCACTGAAAGTAATACTTTGTATTTCTATTGTTAAATTGTCAATTTTTAATGAATCGAGTTTGTTTTCGTAGGTTCCCAGAAAGAGAAAGAGTTAAGGAGTTTCTTGAAATCCCAAGTAGAAAGGTAATCTTAATTTCTTTCATTCATAATGCTTGTGTATCTTTGACATTTTATAAGGGTCATTCTCACTGAAAAGGTATAAATAGACTAAAAAAATTTCTTAAATTAAAGTAATTAAAAACGTGATAAAAATTACATTAATGCCTTTTTTATTTTTGTTATATGTCCTTATAATAATGGTCAAGTTTTCTATTTTATTTGTTTCTATTTTATTTGTCAAGTTTTCTATTTTATTTCTATGTCCACGGAGGAGATGTAATAGTCAACGGAGGAGAGATTTTTTGTTATAAAATATAAAATGCCAATGAAGACTAATTCATTAATTATTAAGTACAACTAATATGAGTTTAACATTAATAAGTAAATAATAAAATATTTCATTATTAGAGATAGAGCTACTTCAGATTAATCATGCTGCTATGAAAGGAAACATCCATTTTTAACCTAGGTGTACAATTTTTTAAGTAACTCTTACTGAATATTAATAAATTAAAATGTAAGGACTATTGAAATAAAAATTCAAGCTCCACATGAAAGTTGAGTGTTGAGGGTACTCTTTTAAGAACATTTTATGCAAGTTAAACATACTGTCATCCAAATAACGTTTTTGTTTTTTCTCTTTTCTTCTTGTTATTGTTTCTTTCTTCCCTGGGCACAAACGGCTTGCTCTATCAATTTCTAGAAATTTAGGTACATTTAATCACGATTTTTCTGTTAATCTTTTTTTGATACAGATTTTAAAGTTTTTTGCTCCTTTTTTTTTTTTTTTTTTTTTTTNAACAATATAGGGTTTTCTTTTAATTTCTGTCTATCTTGTCTCATACTAAGTTTTTTCTGTTCCCTTCTCTTTTTGCATTTGAACATTTGATTGCTTTCTTTTTTTACATTTTGTTTTACCATTTTTTTCCTAAAATTTGAAGAGAAAAAAAATTTTAAACATCACAGAAATTATTTAGAAAAATTGCCAATATTTACTTCTCATATAAGAAAAAGTTAAACTTAATTGATTTTCTTTAAAAATACAAACTAATTAACACATTTGTTCCATTTTAAAAAATATCAATTAAAAGAAAATAGTTTTTTAATTATTAAAAATGTATTATGGTTATCTAACACATTGTCTCTTCCATTGACTGTGTCTTTTCCTCTGTGGACTTGTTATGTCCACGGAGGAGACAAAATCTAGTTATTGAATTTCACTGATTTTTAATTTTAAAGTTACAAAAATGGGACAGTTCTTTTTATTAAATATACTATTTTTGCAATCTAAAATTCATCTATCAAAAATAAAATAATTTTCTTTTACCTTCTTTATGATGTCCACGGAGTATACAGTGAGAACTTTGCCAAATCCCCAGTTGACCACAACAATCCAAAACTGACACCAAAGAGAGCAAAAACAACTCATAGTTAACATTAGAAAGTGGAATGGTTACCTTTCCCAGCAGCTGTCTTATAGGGATTTCACATATGCTGCCCTTTATTGCATATTTACCAACTATATTAATTGTCCATGGAGGGAGATTTCATTTTTGATGGACAAAGTTTACTAGTCATTTATTTTATTAAAATAAGTTGTTTTTTTTTAAATTTTAAATAAAAAGTTACTATAAACATTTAACTAGGTGAAACTACAAAAATCATTAAAATAACATTTAAATTGTTTAACAGCCATTAAAAATTATTTTGTGTCACAGAAGTAGGGATGTCCATGGAGGGGATTTTGAAGTTATGTTTATTAAAAAATAAGAACGAAATTTAATATACATTTAGCAGAACTGCATATGATTTGTTAGTTCTAACTTTACTTAAAATGATTACTTAAAATGATTTACTTAAAATATTTAGAAATCTGCTGTATTTCCTAATATTTATTACTAAGGGACTTTAAAAATCACCTTTTTCTGAGAATGACCCGTAAAGTTTAATATTAGAATGCTGAGCAATAGAGTAGAATTCTGTAACAGTACCTATTCGGGGGATATTTCCGTATCATGATCTGTTGCGCCAATTACATGTGCCAAGATGCCAAATTTTTAAATATCAAAATCAGCTCGGACAGGTACCACTACGGGAAAGTCCCCAAACAGTATCATTTTCATAATAACTTTAGACTGAAGAAGTAAACTTTCAATTTTAATTCTATCAGGGTGCGTAGCGTTTTTAAAAAGTGCTTATTTTCGGTTTTTAAAAGCCCTTAAAAGTGCTTTTTTCATTGGGTGTTATTAAAAAGTGCTTAATTTCCCCTTTTCCAAAATGAGATTTTTTCCTTTACCATGTTGATTTTCGCAACGAATTATGCACAAAGAAACTGTATGCACAAAAGCCCTTAAAAGTGCTTTTTTCATTGGGTGTTTCTAAAAAGTGCTTAATTTCCCCTTTTCCAAAATGAGATTTTTCCTTTACCATGTTGATTTTCGCAACGAATTATGCACAAAGAAACTGTTCACATTGTTCTATTCAACGTTTTCACAATTTATTTAACCTCGATCTATTTTGGCGTATTGTCAGCCTGTAGCGTATGAAAACGCTATTCAATTTACATGATTCAAAAATTTTGACAACTGCCAAATACAATGCCGAAAGTTTTTTTTTTTTTGCATGACGGATAAAACCCTCAATTGTCAAAAACTTTCCAATCCTACCTAAAGTGCTTAAATATATTATTTGAGTGCTTGAAAAGTGCTTAAAAGGTGCTTATTTTTTGTTGAATAATTTGGCTACGCATCCTGTCTATGTTAATCCTTACAATTTACTTGTTATAACATATATATATATATATAGTTTTGTAAGTGATATTGTATGTTTATTTGATTGTGTGTATTTTTCTATAGGCATTTATCAAAAGATAAAGTAATTATTTTGGATTCAACTAATTATATTAAAGGTAAATAAAAAAAATTTAAAACTCATTTTTTAAGTTTAATTTCTAAAAGTCACACTAAGTTCCTTTTCATGACTTTGAAGTATTTTCATTTTTAAAATTCATTTTTTATAAAGCTACATTTAAAATTATAACTGCTAAATTGTAATACTAATACAATTTTTGAAGTTTAAAACCTTGTGATTACTTTTAATTACTTAATGTTTGCTATAGCAATAATAATATTTTCACTAACTACAGTTGCTTATTATAAATTTGATCTTTTTAAAAAACCTTTTGCTTGATTTTAAACTTGCTTTTGCTATTTAGTGACAAAGACCAAAATACCTTTATATTTTAAAATAGGTAGTGTTTTTTTTATTAAAAAAAAACAACTTTTTTATGTGTATTGTCAATGCATATTTCTAACATTGTAACCAAAAGGTTAATGTGTTGATAAATTTTATAACATCTTGGTATAATATAATTTTTATTGCATTTAAATAAAAAAAAAAAGTTGTTAATTTCTGCATTGCAAGTAAATAAAGCCGTTTTGTAGTTTGTCTAAAGTAAGAATTCCCCTAGCCATTTGTCTGGTCCCTTGGTGGTGACTATCAGGGGTCTGTCTAGGTTTTTCTGAGAGGTACCTATTTTGTGAAAATTTAGACATAATTTGTGAAAATTAAAAATTATATTTTTTAAAAAATCAACACAAAAATATGGATTTATTGTTTCATATGAGACACAAAAATAAAATTTTACAAAAAAGTATTTTGTGAAACTACCATTCCCTGTGGCAGAATTTTCTTGGGATTTCTGCGACAAACCTCTCCAGCACTAATATCTTTCTGCAAGATGCTTTTAATAATAACAAGTATGCATGTTACTAATTGAATTTGAAGTAACATAAAAGTTGCGTTCACAATAAAAAATAAAAAAACCTTTTGAATAAAATAAAAATCGTATTTAATTTTTAAATGAATATGTAATGTTTTTTTTTATAAATATTATTCTAATATAATGGCGAGATTCTCCCATTTTATACGAAGAAAACACGAATTATTTCCTTTTTCGCATTTCGTAAAACATCATCTCATCAAAAAAAAATTTAAAATCTTGTAATCCATAGCAGTGGAGTGACTACTGAAAACAAGATCCACCACGAAATCACTCTGATCGGACTCTTCAAAAAGGGGGGGGGGTACTAAATGCTTGTTTCGTAAAACATCATCTCATAAAAAAAAAAATTTAAAAATCTTGTAATCCATAGCAGTGACTACTGAAAACAAGATCGACCACGAAATCACGCTGATCGGACTCTTCAAAAGGGGGGATACTAAATTTTTGTTTCGTTTCGAGATCCGGTTGTTGTAATAAATAATATCGTATTTAAAATATAGGATTTTAAAGACTGTGTGAAATAAATAACCCCCCCCCCCAAAAAAAAACAATAGAATCATTGTTTTAAAAATTAAATATTCATAAGCACGATTCGAATTCCCCATATTGTCAGAAATATATCGGGATACTTAAAAATCATGGGAAAATCAATATAAATAAACTGCCGAAAATGCAATCTAAACACTACATGGATTTGTGGTAGTATCGGCATAAAGTGAGAGCGTCAAAAAGAGATTATTTAATAGCGCAATTTGAATTTTACGTGTAGAAATAATATTGACTGAAAAATAACAGGAATTTTAAAAATCTCATGGAATTCAGTAGCATAGCACATGTAATAAAAAGCCGAAAAACGGTGAAATCGTCACAGTAAAAGTAAATAATTGATTTCAGTTTCAAATATAATTAAATTGTATAAAAAGCATCAGGATTTGTTTATTTTAAAAATATGAAAATAGAGCGTGGATTAACAAGAATATCGGCTCAAAATAAGCGTGTCAAAAGAATGATTTCTGGAGGGAAAAAAATCGTTCAACATTTCTGCAGAAAAGAAATTTCTTTCTTTATTATTCTATATTCTTCATTCTTAAATTAGAATGGAAAAATCAGGAACATTTCTTTCCTCTCTGATGTGCTAAAAAGGCATCTTTTAAATATAATTTTAGAGAAAAAAAAATTTCTGCCGAAAAGAAAAGCAAAATTCCTTACTTCCTAACAGAAAATTCTTTCTGCAAGAACTCAGCAACATTCTGCGACAATGTCGCTGTGTCGCCGCGATTCTGCCACAGGGCTACCATTTTTCCTAAAGTTGAATTTGTGAAGGTATCATTAAACGGTAGTAAATTTTTGGCTTGGACTGACCCCGGACTATGGTAACTATTTCAAGTAAGGGTGTAGGGTCATTGTTTAGGACAAGTTTTGGATCAGGTCGGTGAGAGAAAAGGAATCTTTTTCTTTGGTCTATTGTGTTAGCCCTAGAGTGAAGAGAAACTACCCTCCCTGAAGTGCGCTATTCTTGTTTCCATAGCAGCAGACAGCCTCAGACTTCATGACGGGGAATTTCTTACCATAGACAAACTATACCTTGTTTATGTGTATTTATAGCTTTATCCTTATAAGTAATTAAAAACAGCATTTTTAATGTTAGTAATGCTTTGATGATTCCTGGTAGCTGATTTTATGGAATACATCTGCAGTAATATCTTTATAAATCCAAATTTGTCTGTAACCTAAACACAATTAGATAAGAGATTATTCAGGGGTTTATCTAGGTTTTTCTGAGAGGTACCTATTTTGTGAAAATTAAAAATTATATTAAAAAAATCAACACAAAAATATGGATTTATCCCTTCTTTCGGGATGCAAAAATAAAATTTTAAGAAAAAGTAATTTGTGAAACTTCCATTTTTCCTAAAGTTGAATTTGTGAAGGTACCGCGAAACGGCAGTAAATTTGGCCTGGACAGACCCCTGTTATTATTGTAAAAATTCAGCTTAATCTAACATACATAAAGCAGAACTTGCAAATAATGTATAATAATAATCTATTTGCTTTCTTCTGTTTTGACAACTTGATATTTCACTGCATCTGCTTTCAATTTCTGTCTTCTTCTCGGTCGAGAAGTGCTTTTTGTACTTGTTAATGGCATGAGGAATTTTATAGTTTTACATACTTAGCTCAGAATTCTATCAACTTTAAGTATATAATAATCAAGTAAATCAACTTGCAAACATTAGACTCTCTCAAAACTCTAAGGAAACTTCAATTTTAAGGAAAAGCATATGGAAATAAACGTGTGCATAAATCAAAGCATTTTAAAAATAATGTTCTGTTAACGATTTTGCTATTATTTCTAAATGTTCTTTAATGCAAATGTTGTTTAAATTTAATACAGTCGAACCCCACTATAGTGAACCTGGGATATAGTGAACACTCGAATGTAGTGAACTTTTTTAGTGGTCCCGTCAGTACTACTATTTAAATAATGTTATTTTTAATGCTTATAGTGGACAGCTGAGAACTTGGAAATTCGATTATAGTGGACTCAAATTTCATTTCTTTAAATATCTTTTTCTGTCCTTCATCTTTACACTTGCAGGTGTTGGGACTGAAAATGAATGCATTCCTATACAATGTGTCATCTTTCACTTTTAACTATATTGTAATAAATGTTAAACAGAACATTTATCTTATACTCCCTGACAAGCCTCTCTTTTTTCCTTTTCCCAAAGCTTGCTCTACAACTAGTTAACATGGTCACCTGCTGAATTTTTGGAATTCTCTTATCTGTTCAAACGATATTCCTTAATTCTGGTGGCCAAGTTCTTTACAAATCACTCCTTGACAATCAAGAAGGGGAACAATTTAACTTGTTCTACAGCTGCTCTCCTCATATTCTTGCATTATCTATTAGAGACAAGGTTTTTATTTCAAAAGCAGTGAAAATGACAAATTCTTTAAAGAGAAACACATTTTTGATAGAGGCCAAAGTTAAAATTGTAAAGTGTATTGAAGATGGAACCAATCAATTGGCACTGTGTAAGGAATTTTCCTTGTCAAAATCTACAGTTTCAAACATTTGGAAAAATCTTGCTGCATATGAAAAAAATATGGTTTCGCCAAAAAAACTGCGTGGAGCTGAAAGAGAAAACGTAGAAGAAGCTTTTTTAAAATGGTTCACTGCTCAGCGGGATATAAATCTTCCTGTGACCAGACCTATGCTTCAAATTAAAGCGAATGAGTTTGCTGAGAAATTAGAGGAAAAGGATTTTGTGTGCTCCAATGGATGGCTAGATAGATTGAAAAAACTGTAGAAACCGAAAATGTAGATCAAAGAATCCTGCATTCATTGCACATTGCAGATAAGAAAATTGATGAAAATTGTATTCAATCAAAAATCACAAATTTTTTTCATAAAAAGTGAAATTAAAACTAATTTTTAGCTACAAAGTACTTTTTTCATTAATTTTTGCTTTATTATCTGTTAATTAGTTAATGATTTTTTAAAAAACTTATGCAAAATTGGAAACCCAATTTTCAATTGTTCAACTGTCTTATGCAAAAAATATTCTTCAAAAAATTTGGATATAGTGAACCATCGTTTATAGTGGACGCATTACTGAGTCTGCAGACGGTTCACTATAGCGGGGTTTGACTGTATCTATATATTTAATAAATGAAGACATGTTTTAAACTTTCTAATTGGTCATTAGGAAAATAAATGCCAATAGTGCAAACTTTTTAAGTTATATAGTTAGTGATACTGGTTTATTTGGAAGGGTTTTTCTTATCAAGCACAAGTGTTTATTGAAAGTTAGTGAAATTGTATTTTGCAGCTCGTTATGTCCGCAACATTGCGGACGTAACTAATAAAAGATTCTATTTTTAAAATTTTTTTATGTATTTTTAAATTTTCTATTAGGTTATGTATTTATAATTTTCAGGGTTTTTCAATTTGTGACACAATCACCCCTGAAAAATATTAACTGCATGAAATATAATTGGAACAATTTTTATTTTTTCAGGATATCGATATGAATTATATTGTATAAGTAAAGGATGTAAAACGACCCATTGTGTGGTAAGATTTGTTTTATATTCTCTACTCATTTTGTACCAACTCTCCTGGATTTTTCCTGGTCTACTGGTTTAATAAAAATTCTCCTGGTTTTTGTACATTTTAGAAAACATTTTGGAAGATTCCTAAAAAATCCCTATTGGAATAAAAATTTTGCACAGATTATTACTTGCTTGAATATTACGAGGGTTGTTTAAGTAAGGTAGGTTTTGTTCTGTACTTTAATAGGTGACGCAGCGAGTGCTTCCATCGAGCCCTAGCATTCCTTGAGAACAACAGTTCTATGTCTTTAAAATGTTCAAATTTAACTAACCACCATGGACGAGATACGGTCAATGATGCGTTTTTAGTCGGCAAAAAACCTGTCTGCTGGATATGTTTACTGGCAGATTTGTCATCATCATCATAGTTGGCCAGACAGCCCAATGTGGGCCAATGCCTTCCTCTGAAGATTTCTCCATAATGACGTTCGATTTATCTTTGATCTCCAGTTCCTTTCATCAACTTCAAGAAAATCAGACTCTACCGAGTCAGCCCATCTAGCGGCCTTCCCCGCTTTCTTGTTCCAGTGGGTTTAAAAAGCAGCATCTTTTTTATTGTATTGTCATCACTCATTTGAATCACTTGACCATCCAATTCATTCTATTTATTTTTATGTGTTCAATAATATAGGGTTGTTTCTACATCTTGTGCAGTTCAAAGTTAAATCTCCTTCTCCAGTTATTGTTTTCCACCAAGTATACTACGCGAAATCTTTCTCTCAAATATTGTGATACAATTTTCCTCCAGTTTTGTCATTGTCCAAGCTTCAGAAGCGTATATCAAGACCTGCGTGACAAGAGTTTTGTAGATTAAGAATTTGTTTTTCTTGAAAGAAACCTAGATTTAATAAATTTCTCAGTCAGAGTTGTAAAGTAGCAAAATTCCCTGCCATACTGACAAGGGAAATTTGCTACTCTGTGACAATGACTCTTATCCCAGCTTTAGTGGACTCTTTTGGTTGGGAAGTTTTGGATGACCCTCCCTACAGCCCAAACCTTGCACCGAGTGATTTTCATCTTTTCCGATATTTCATTTACTCTGCAATCACTACAATGATACTTGTAAACTGCTGCGACCTCTTGGTTAATAGAGGAGGCAGAAAGTTTGTATAAAGTGGGTATTGTTAATCTAGTTGTAAGGTATGATAATTATTTAAACGAACTTGGCAACTATGTTGAAAAATAGAGAAACGTATGTAAAGTCTGAAAATGAATTTGCTTCTGGAAATTTTTCTTTCATTTCGTTTTTATTTTGAAACCACCCTTACTTAAATAACAACCCTCTTAAAATATGTATTATATATAATAAAGCTAGCCTCATTTCTAAAAATCGGTATAAAAAACCGTTTTCCTCCTAAAATGTTCAGTTTATTTTTTATTCAGAACTCCCTTTTTAAATTAATTAAGAAAATTCTTTTAACTAACTTTGATGAATTAAAATGCCTATTACTATTCAAAAAGATGAATAAACATAATGCATAACATTTCAAGATCATTTAATGTGAAATCATAAGTAGAAAATATGGCAGTTTTTCTATTTTGATGACTATAAAAATTCCTTAACTTCCCTATGTGTAAAATATTTAATACATTATGCAACAATTATCATGAAAAATTTATATTATTTCATAAAATCTACTGGATTTTTTCCTATCCATGTTGGCAGCTATGTATTTTGTATGGAAGGTTCTACTATATTAAATCTTTTAAGTTTAGCTTTGTAATAAATGAAGATTTTAAACAAACAAATAATGTATAAGAAAAGTGTTTGTATGCACCTTAAAAGTGCTTAATTTTTTTTTCATCACAAAATTTAAATACTCTTAAAAGGTTTTATTTTAGGTTTACGGTGGTTAAAAGTCTTTTTTTTTTCTTTAAGGAAAAAGTGGGTGAATATGCCGAGCAAGTCTTAAAAATGGGGGCATATTTTTGAAACATGTCAAATGTTATTTCTTATTTGTATATTTTTGAAATGAATGAAGTTTTTTTTATTTTTTTTTATCTGATAATATATCAGAATTAGTTTGAAGTTTGCGGAACAGATTTTGTAATTTTAAATGAACTTTAAAATTTTCTAATATCATTATTAACACTTATCCTATTGTAATAGGATAATCAAATTATATTAGAATTTGTTTGACTTTTAATATATTTTGTAAATTCTGTCAATCTGTCTTTCAAAATTTTTAATTCATTTTAAAAATCCTTTTGAACTGTCATATATTACATTTTTATTTATAATATCTTGCAAAAAGCAATATCTGATGAGTATGTATTCAAATTAAATTTAGTTTCTAAAAATTTGTATGTTGGTACACCATAGTTTATTTTACTTTAAAGTTTTTAATAACATAAAGAATACAATTAATTGTGTTCCTATTCTGATAGTTTTTTTCTTATGGCTCTGATCCTTTGAACAAAATACTAGAAGAAATTTAAACTAAAAAAATTTATAATTTAATTGAAAAATCGATGTATTCATTTTTTTGTTTATAAGTTAATTGATAATTAATTATAATTTATCAATTATGAGTTAAAATTATGATTTAATTGATAAGTTAAAAATAGTTAATTGAAAAATATTGTCTGGTTATTTATGCTATAAACTATAATATGTATCAATACTATAATATGTTATCAATGTGTTGCTCTAGATACACTGCGATTTATTACCTGATGACTGCTGGATTTATAATAATGCTAAAATACAAGCTGAACAGTACAATAAATCCATGTAAGTATTTTAAGAATCATTAATGTCAATTCATTACTTTACTTTTTTAATCAATTACTTTTTTAAACATCCGTTCTTTTTAAAGATAGATTAAAAACAAGATGTGTGGCAATTTTAAAAAGTACTTAAAGGTGTTTATTTTCAATTTTTGTTTTTTAAAAGCCCTTAAATGTGTTTTTTTTTTCATTGTGTGTTTTTAAAAAGTCTTTAATGTTCCTTTTTTCAAAGTGAGATATTTTTTTATCGTGTCTGTGTTTGCCCCGAATTATGCAAAATATGTTGTTTACGCTATTCATTCAATCACAATAATAATATTATTAGGATCTACACACAAATAAAAAATTTTCTTCCTATTATTGAAAGTTCGTATATATATATATATATAGCATAGTAAATAAAAACAAAAAAACACGAAGAAAATTAAGAAAAACAGTAAGTTTTATTTATTGCACATAAGCTGCAAATAAATAGAACTGATAACATCAGTTCAAATTGTAGAGAAAACAAGGGAAAAATTACAGAACAATGAAAAAAGGGGAAAAAAAGAAAAATAATAATAAAAATAACAAAGAATCGGTAAAAATGGACAAAAAATTTTTAAAAATCCGGAAAATAAAAGATATAATCTTTTCATCAGCTCGCACGATCATATCCGCAAAAAAGAGTGCTTTCTAATATTGCATCAATATATCCAAAGCAAAATATATCAATACAATAGTGTGAGAAGCTCTCAAAATTTTTTACAAAAAAATTACAAGAAATAAAATAGAACACAATAAATTAAAATATCATGTAAGAACAGAAAATAAAACGTAAAGAAAAAAACAGAATAAAACATGAAATGAAATCTGTAAAGCCAGCAGTGAATTCAAATGAACTTACATGAATGGGAAATTTTTCAAGAATGATTTGAAATATTTTCGTAACGAGATTGCCAGATTGAAAAAAATGAAAACAAAAGCGTAAATTGAGTGAAAAGCGTTACTAGGGGAGTTTTGTATTAAACAGTGCGTTCTGGCTGCATTACTGAAATGTGTTTGATTTGTTAGTTACCAAGGATGGGCCCGAAAATGGATGTGGGTCATTCTCACTGAAAAGGTATAAATAAACTAAAAAAATTTCTTAAATTAAAGTAATTAAAAAAGTGATAAAAATTACATAAATGCCTTTATTTATTTTTGTTATATGTCCTTATAATAATGGTCAAGTTTTCTATTTTATTTTTTACAAGATTTAAAATATTTTAAATTCTGCCTTGTCCACGGAGGAGATGTAATAGTCAACGGAGGAGACATTTTATGTTATGAAATATAAAATGTCAATGAAGACTAATTCATTAATTATTGGGCACAACTGATATGAGTTTAACACTAATAAGTAAATAATAAAATATTCCATTATTAGAGATAGAGCTACTTCCGATTAATCATGCTGCTATGAAAGGAAATATCCATTTTTAACCTAGGTGTACAATTTCTTAAGTAACTCTTACTGAATTTTAATAAATTAAAATGTAAAGTCTATTGAAATAAAAATTCAGACTTCACATGAAAGTTGAGTGTTGAGGGTACTCTTTTGTGACCATTTTATGCAAGTTAAGCATGCTGTCATCCAAATAACGTTTTTGTTTTTTCTCTACTTGTTATTGTTTCCTTTTTCCCTGGGCACAAACGGCTTGCTCTGTCAATTTCTAGAAATTTAAGTACATTTAATCACGATTTTTCTGTTAAATCTTTTTCTGATGCAAATTTTAAAGTTTCTTGCTCTTTTTTTTATTTATTTTTTTTATTTTACTTTCTTCAAACAATATAGGGTTTTCTTTTAATTTCTGTCTAGCTTGTCCCATACTAAGTTTTTTCTATTCCCTTCTCTTTTACATTTGAACATTTTATTGCTTTCTTTTCTTAAATTTTGGTTTTGCAATTTTTTTCCTAGAATTTGAAGAGAAAAAAAATGTTAAACATCACAGAAATTATTTAGAAAAATTGCCAATATTTACTTCTCTGATAAGAAAAAGTTAAACTTAATTGATTCTCTTTAAAAATAGAAACAAATTAACGCATTTGTTCTATTTTAAAAAATATCTATTAAAAGAAAATAGTTTTTTAATTATTAAAATTGTATTATGGTTATCTAACACATTGTCTCTTACATTGACTGTGTCTTCTCCTCCGTGGACTTGTTATGTCCACGGAGGAGACAAAAACTAGTTCCTGAATTTTTCTGATTTTTAATTTTAAAGTTACAAAAATGGGGCAGTTCTTTTTGTTAAATATACTATTTTTGCAATCTAAAATTCATCTATCAAAAATAAAATAATTTTCTCTTACCTTCTTTATGATGTCCTCGGAGTATACGGTGAGAACTTTGCCAAACCCCAGTTGAACACAACAATCCAAAACTGACACCAAAGAGAACAAAAACAACTGATATTTAACATTAGAAAATGGAATGATTCAGCAGCTGTCTTATAGGGATTTCGCATATGCTGCCCTTTATTGCATATTTACAGAACTATATTAATTGTCCACGGAGGGAGACATTTTTGATGGACCAAGTTTACTAGTTATTTATTTTATAAAAATAAATTTTTTTAAAAAAAATATTAAATAAAAAGTTACTATAAACATTTAACTAGGTAAAACTACAAAAATCATTAAAATAACATTTAAATTGTTTAACACGCATTAAAAATTATTTTGTGCCACAGACGTAGGGACGCCCACGGAGGGGATTTTGAAGTCATGTTTATTAAAAAATAAGAATGAAATATTAAATACATTTAGCAGAAATGCATATGATTTGTTAGTTAAGAACTTCACGAAAAATTATAAAGAAGAATATTAAGAAATCTGTATTTCCTAATATTTATTACTCAGGGACTTAAAAAATCACCTTTTTGTGAGAATGACCCATGTGCGCAAGGTAATATTATACTGGATAACTTAAAGAAGTTGACAATAAATAATTTTTGAAAATAAATATTTATTTAAGAAAAAAAATATATAAAATAGAAGAGTGAAAGAAACATGAATTGCCTGTTTCCCACATAATTTTAGCCATGGATTTGGCCGAAATGTATTTGCACATGGAAAAAATTATATAAATTAGCAAAGAAATTTTTTAGTAAACATATCTACAATAATATACGATTAACTCAATGATTTTATGTAGAATTTTATTACTTTAGTTGGGTATCCCTTGTTTTTTATCAAATTTTGAAAGAATTTATCTATTTGTTTTTTGGATAAATAAATATTACTACATATTCTTTTAATTCTATTCATTTCATTAAGGGTGGTATTTAAATAGATGTTCCTAGAAATATTAGAATTCCAAGTAATTAGTTTATTTATATTAAAATTAAGATCATTTCTTTTGTCGTATAAATCAACAAAGCAGATATTTTCGTCTTTTATAATACCCAAATCCAAAAAATTGAAATTAATATACTTAAATTTGGCAATCCGGTGAGCAGTAGAAACAGGCAAAAAAGGATTTTAAAAAGAGCAAATTAATTTTATTCACTTTCAATAGTAGGAAGAAAATTTTTTTATTAGTGCGCATATCCTAATTATATTTGAGGAGATTTCCGTATCTTGATCTGTGGCAAAATAATCGCCAAATATTGGCAACTTCCGGGCAGCGGCCCGCAAGATACTTTTTGAAATTTGATAAAATAATACTTTTTTTAAATTTGCAAGATTAAGATGGCACCTCAGGAAATGGAAATATCCCCTTATATTTTTTTTTAAAACAAAGAGTGTTAGAGTAATTTTTGAGCGCTTGAAAAGTGCTTCAGAGGTTTCCAGATTTTTCCGGATTTCCAAATTTTTCCCTAATTACGCTCTGGAAGTTCCCGGAAATCTTAGGTCCAGAAGTTTCAAGAAATCATCAATCGTATTTATGTATAAAAATTCTTGTATATTTCATTTAAACATATTAAAACTAGGCCATGGCACAGAATAGATCAAGGTGGCAAAAACGTTTTGGGACTAAATACAGTCTTCAAACTGATAAGAAAATTAAAGAAATTTTCAATGAGAGCATTTAAGATGTCATTTCAACTTGATGGGTATCATAACCTGGGTGGTCCAGATGAAAAGATCAAAAGATGCCGATGTCCGAATTATTTCAGGAGAGCAGTACCATTTTCTCTCCTTTCTTTACAAAGATAAGGCAAGGTGACAAGAGAATGATTGATTCTTCAGTGGTGAAATAGCTTAGCAATATTTTTAGTTATGGATAAGGCAAAAAATTTTATTTTCATTTACATGCTTTAAAAATGGTGAAAAGTTGCATTTTTTTATCTTGCAATTTAAAGCAAAAATAGTGTTTTTTTTTTTTTATTTAGGAAAAGTAGTGTCTGGTTTGAAGAGATAGAAAATAATGTTTCAGGACCAAAAGGACTGTCCGAGTCCGGTTACGGGAGTGTCCGCTTTGCGGAGAATGTACAAAATGATTTATTCATAGAAGATTCCAGGGGAATTAAAAATATGTCCGTATTGAGACAGGAGGTTTCACTGTATATATATTTATAATATTTATATATATTAATATTTTATATGTATATATATATTATTATTATTTATCAAATATATATATATTTGATACAAAAATTTATTGTGGAAAATGGAAGAGTTTTTTTAAAAAAAAGTATCAGTATTTTTAGTTTAAATAAAAGCAAGTCAAATAATTAAAAGTATTTAATTTTCTTTAACCCCTTAACGATCGGTTAATTGTCAAGAAAACAATCATAAAAGTGCCTATTTTTTTGGCTTTTGTATTTGTATTACGTATTTGATTAGTGCTGCAACTAGTTTAAAATAAGCTAACTATCTACAATTACCTTAAAAATATCCTGGTACTGCCATCAGGTGTGTAAAATGAGAAATAAAATGCTTTCCGGTCAAAAGAAATGAATTAGTTTTATTCTTATTGGCGCGTTACTACTGAACTACTGAACACTCCAGACCGTCAATATCAGGGGAGCGAGAAATAGCGGGCGAAATCTTTAGCACTTAGAATACTAGATAAAAATTTTCATATTTTCTGCTAACATGACTAATTATGCGCATGGCCCTTTGTTAATCTACCTACCGTGCAAGTGGCCTTTCGCTAAAAAAAGGTTGTACATCCCTACCTTAAAGTGTTTGTTATTTTAAATTTTGCTAATAAGATTTCTTAATTGTTTTTATAAAATATTATAATTTTATGCTTATAGTTTTTTCTGCTAACTGACTAAATTTAATTCTTCAAATTCACCATTTTTTTTCCCTGTAAATTAGCAAGTGCACATCAAGATTTATGAAGATATAGTTTACAAAGTACACTTAATGATTTATTCATCAGGTTTAGGATTTCTTCCACTTGACAAAATGGAAGAAACTAAAATCTACCAAAATAATTGTTTAGTGATATAATACTTAGAATTTAAAAAAACATTTTGTGCTAGGTATTTTTGTATTTCTTAATGCATATAAATAACCATTCTCATGTTATTCACTTCATTTTTCACAGAATATTAAAATTTATATAAAAACATTATAATTTATTTTTAAATGGGATTTATATTATCTGAATGCACTTTAATTTCTAAATGGTTTGCTTTTGATGTTTTGCATATTCTATTATAAAAAATAATTAATAATTACTCATAGGTAGAATAATTTTTATTTCAAAGTTTAGTTCTGATTACTGTTACAAATATGCGGTGAATTATGAATATTCATATTACTAAAAACATTAATGTTTTTCTGAACTGGAATGAATTTTATTATTTTAATTAATATACGTATATAAACAGTCGGATCTCTATTTAAAAGAAGTTGCTAAATCCTGATAAAACCTTCCTTATATGGAAAATTCGCTAAATAGAAAATCACCATCTGAAATACTTAAACAACACAAAGCAGATCTTAAATTCATAAGCACGATATACACATAGTTAAAATAGCAATTGTTACACACCGTTCTTGTAAACCAGTAACTACTATGGAATTGTTTTAAATGATTTTAACTATTTTATCATATGAAGGTTTGGTGATTTCTTCATCATTTCTGCCCTTTTTTTCATCTTCCTCACAATTTATTGCTGTATTGTTTTTATTTTTTACACTGCCCAAAATATCTGACTCGGTTAATGTTTCTGTGGTTGCAGCTTCATAATTAATAAAGAGAAAATCATTAATCAGTACTACATCACCCTTAATTTCGTGGTTCTCTCTTAGCTGTACTCACATTTTTTTGATCTATTTAGTTTCTATTTATAAATACCATTAGCTATTATCTAAGAGTTGTTTTGAGTATTTTTTACCTAATAGTATTTGATTATGAAGATTAATTAGTATGCTATTTGAATTTGTAATTATAACATAAGATTTAAGGTTGTGATTTGTTAATTTTGTTGGATTTACAATTTTTTTTAATGATTTGTAACAGTTTTTTACCCAATCATAAATAAAATTTAAAGCTGCATTACTCAAATCTACGAAAAAAGAGGAAAGAAATTTTTTTGGGCCTAAAAAGAAACATGTAGGTTGCATTGCTTTTGAGCAACAGTTTAAATGAAAGTTATTCAGGGTTTTATATATATATATNATATATATACAGTGAAACCTCCTGTTATGGACACTCCTGCAAAACGGACGCCTCTCAATACGACCATATTTTTAATTCCCCGGGAATCTTCTATGAATAAACCATTACGTACATTCTCTGCAAAGCGGACACTCCCGTAACCGGACGCGGACAGTCATTTTGGTCCTGAAACGTTGTTTTTTATCTCTACAACCCGGACACTACTTTTTCTAAATAAATTGCAAGCTAAAAAAATGCAACTTTTCACCATTTTTAAAGCATATAAATAAAACTTTTTGCCTTATCCATAACTAAAAATATTGTTAAGCTATTTCACCACCGAAAAATCAATCTTTCCCCTGTCACCTTGCTTTATCTTTGCAAAGAAAGGAGAAAAAATGGTACTGCACTCCTGAAATAATTGTGACATCGGCATCTTTAGATCTTTTCATCTGGACCACACAGGCTATGAGACCCCTCAAGTTGAAATGACTTCTCTCAATGCTTCTTCCCCATTGAAAATTTCTTTAATTTTCTTATCAATTTGTAGACTATATTTAACACAACTGGGGTAAAAAAAGGAAAACAGAAGTATAATCTTTGAGGGGTTTATATAAATGAAACATTTATTCAGACACTTGATAGCTGACCAATTGTGAATAATCATCTCCATAGCTCCTCATGACTTACAGGTATGCATTACTTTTTTTTCTGTGAATCATGGGAGGTTTATTTTCCAAGAAGGTATTAACCATGTTCCCTATCAAATGATAAGTAGGTGTAAGGGGATCTGAACCTAATAATTGAAGCGGACTGAGGAGAGTGCGCTCCTATCATATGTCTAACTTGAGTATCTGTGCTAATAGGAAAATTATATTTATTTATCTGTAGCTACATCCAGAATTATGTATTTATATCAAACTTCTTTATATATTCTTTTTTATCTTTCTTACTGTTTAAATAAATATTCTTGTAGATATTTACAGTATTCTTGTAGATATTATTTAATTATTTCTACATCTTTGAGAACATTCAAAAAACAATTTACGGTGTTAAATTTCGTTATTAGGGTACCCTTCTCATAAACGGACAAATTTTTTGGTCCCATGATTGTCCGCTTAACGGAGGTTTCACTATATATATATTTTATTTATTTTTTTACAGATTGTACTTCCTATTGTTAACACATGTGTTGCAGAAATATTTCTTCCTTTTTTTTAATCTATTTTAACTTTGTGGTTTTATTAGTTCTTATGTTGATTATTTTGCTTACTTTGGTAGATTTGATGCTCTTGTCCAAAGATTTGAGGTTCCTGAAGATAAAAATCGGTGGGATTCCCCTTTGTTTACAATTCACAAAGATGAAGATATACCCTTAACAGAAATTGAAGCTGCACTCTTTTCTAGAAAAGCTCCACCGCCAAATCAATCTACACAAAATGTGAGTTTTTTTAAAAGAAAAATTCATTGAAATAACTTTTAGAACCTGGAGAAATTAACAAGATATCAATGTAATAACTACAGGGTTGCCACACAAATCTGGAAAGAAAAAAATTTCCTGTCTTTTCCTTGTACATATTATCCGCAATATATTAAGAAGAAACACAACAATGACTGTGTTCTTGTATAAACTATATTGGGTTATGGTTAACTATATTTATTAGTTTTAATTGCTGGAAAAACAGCTGAACATACTTAAATAATGCTATAGTAAATGAAATAGTTTAGTATAGCTGAAATATCATCCTTAAATATCTCGTAGATTATGCTTTGAGTGGTTACCATTTTTAGAAAGACTAAAGAAATTTACGAAACAAAGTTCCCTGTATTTACCCAAGAATTAAAATTTCCCTGTTATGTTAGGTGATTTTTAAATTCCTTAAATATTCCAGGTTTTCCCTGTGGCATGGCTACCCTGAACTAATTGCACTGGAAAGTTTATATATATATTGGCATCACCTTTAATTTTTGCTCCAATCCACCTTTCCTAGCTGTTCAATCCTGTTCTTCAACCTTTCATTTAAGACTCTTTTCAAACAAACATTTTTTCTGCCCCACAGTAGACTGATCGCGAAGATACGAAAGTACTTCACTTCGCGTGCAGGTTATCAGGTTTCAGAAGCAGGGAAGCCATTCCCTCTGCATAAGATTAAAATTGCGATAGCATATCTTCGGATCACCCTCAGAGATTTTTCCCAGACCATTGCCTATAGCCCATTGTGCAGCTCTAGTGCAACGTAAAGTACCTACTTATATTTTAATTTAGTATTTATTATTTAATTTCACAATGACAAAAAGTTTCTCGAGTAAAATAAGTAGAGTATTTCTGGAAATTGTGAAAAATATGACCAAGATTTTTAATGATTCATCCTCAGGGATGTTTTCCACACCAATGTGCAGTTCTAGTGCAACGTAAATAAAGCAGAGATGTTTGTGCTGGTAAAAAATCCGGATTTTTTGCTTACCGCGATCCGGAAGTTTGCGGAAATCCAAGGTCTAGAAGTTTCAAGAAATCCTCGATCCCTTTTATGTTTAAAAGTTCTTGTATATTTTATTTAGAAATATTAGAACTAGAATTTATGCTTGGCATCTCTTTCATTTGTAAATAGAAGAATAGTAATCTTTTAGAGTACTAAATGTAATCTAATAGAATAATAAATTAGAATAGTAAATAGTAATCTTTTAGAATAATAAATGTGATTAGACGTAAAAGTAAACCTTTAATAATTATATATTTAAATTATGCTGCATATAATTTATTTAGAATTTCATGTTTTTAAAATATCAATGATATTCAATGATATATATTAAAATATCAATTTTAAAATATCATGTTTTTAAAATATCAATATATGATGACATCAATTTTTTGAAATGCGTTATTAATGATTTTACTCGAGAATTTTTCTGGACTTTTGAGTTGGGCTCACAATCACCCCAGATAAAGTACCTACCTATCAAACATTTTTTTTATGTATTTTTTTTAAACATTTTAATAGAATGCTCTATTTTTTTATTATGATATGTTATCATTTTTTTTTTTGCTACAAAATATTCTGCCATCCAAAATTACATTCATTCTGAGAACCTATTTGATTTTATATTTTGGCATAGGTTTTGACATCAAGGTTTTGACGTTAAACTTTACTAATACACTAAAATATAAATTAATTACCATATTTATATTTTAATTCAATAGATAACTTTAAATGAAATTTCAATTAAATATGAGAGCTACATTTAATTTACAAAAGAGTCTTAAAATATTAGCCTAAATTACTTTGATTAGCAGTTGTTTAAAAATGTAGAAACTTTCAATATTACCTACCTGCGAGTGTCAAAGAAGGGAATTATTCTTTAGGAAGAGTGTTGTTCGGTTATCAAATCAATATATTTTGAATGAAAAATGTAAAAATAATTTTCAGTATTCTTTGCTGTTTACAGTATTTAAGAATACAATATCTTTGAATTATGCTTAACCCATTTTCAGCCCACGGCGCATTTACCCACCATTGGCTGAATAATAATTTTTATATAAATATTTTAATAAATATTTTTATTAACACTTAAAAATTTTAATAAATATTTTTTGTATCATATTTTTTATACTTAAACATTTTAATAAATATTTATTTTATTAACACTGTGACAAATATTTTTCACTCATTTTATTTTTCTGCTATGGTCAAGGGTTCTAAAGACATCTCTAAAATATTAGCCATTCGATTGGAGTAGACACTTTCTGTTGAGAAATTTTTAAACTACTCTAGCTTATTAACTTAAAATGGCTTATCGACACATTAAATTTTTGGAAAATGTATAATTATTCCTTATGAGATTTATCATATGTTTTTATGATGGATTAAAGTTGCAAGTCTGAATATAAAAATAAAAATAATTAATAAGAAAACAAGGGTTCAAATAAATGGCTTTTTCATCTATTTAGTAAAATTGGCGCCTTTATGTAGCACTTTATTTCTTTAATTAAATATAATTTTTCATACAAGAAATTTTTTTTTGTGTCCTAATGGATGATGTAATTCAATTAAAATGACGCTACATTTTAAACAATTTCTATTCTTGGTGTAAAAAGGGTTAGGTTTTATCTACACTGTTACGAAAAATTTTTTCATGTTCTAAATTACAAAAAAATTGATGTTTTTCACAATTTTCTCTGCACTATTTATCAGAAACTAGTTTTTTTATCACAATTATGTGAAGTTTTTGAATTTTATTGATTTTATTTTGATGAATTAGGAACTTTAAATTGTAGAGAGAAAAAAATTTATTACTGCACAGATCCTAGTTATAATTTATTTTTTTTTTTTTTTTGGAAAGTGATTAAAAATATTTTTGAGTACTTAAAGGTGCTTATTTTTTTGTTGAAAAATCTGGCTACACACCTAGTGAGATTTCATGACCTTCTATATTAGATAGTGTACTTTCAGTAAGAATATTTCAGAAGTCATTAATATTCCATCATTTTGTTCTATAACAATATCTAGTAGATATTTATGCCCTTAGTGATTATATTTACTATTAAATTGTGTATAATAAGTGATTTTCTTTTCTTTTTAAAGCAACCTCTGTCCTCCACTAATTTCCTTTATGATTTGGACAAAATAACTCAAGACATTGTGAAGGAAATTTTAAATTCTCAAAGAATGTGTGAACCTGGTGATCCAATAGCTGTTCCAAGGGCTGATCAAACAGTTGAGTATCATTAGAATATTTGCTATTGAAATAATATAAATTTCATGATAATTGTTGCGTAACCCCTTCTTTCTCTCTCCCGTGAAAATGACAGGTTTCGCCTACTATTTCTCGCTCCCGTGATATTTCTGGGCTGGGGTGTTCAGTAGTAACGCACCAATAAGAATAAAACTAATTCATTTCTTTAGCCCGGAAAACATTTTGTTTCTCATTTTACACACCAGGTGGCAGTACCAGGATATTTTTAAGGTAATTGCAGATAGAAGAGATGAAAACAATAAGAGATGTAGGAAGGAAACTTGGTACTACTGTCCAGATTGTGGTGTTGGCCTCTGTATCTCGTGCTTTGAAATTTATCACACCAAAAAAAATTACTCATCTTTATTTACATTATACATAAGTTTAATGAAATTCTTTTTTAATGTTTAAAACACATATTTTTAAAATTTTCCTTGCCTGCTGGAAAACCAACATTAAGTCATAGTCATAGCTTTTTTCAAAAAATTTAATGTTTTTAAATTTCAAGCTGAACACAAGTAAAAAATTAAAAATGAATATATATATTATTCATACACATATTTTTATATAATTTTCAGGGATAAAAAAATAGGCACTTTTATTACCATTTTCTTGAAAATTAACTGATGTTAAGGGGATAATGTACTACAGTACAGAACCCGTTATCCGGAAATCAGAAAACCGGAAAACCAAAAAACCGGAACGAAATTCGATAAATTTTACCGCCATTTTTTTAAAAAAAAAAATTTTTCCTCATAGTATTTTAGGACTTTTCTTTCTTTTTTGAAAGATGTTTACCTTACCATCATTTTGGAAATAATCATTAGTGTATTACTCCATCGTTTTTTCTTCTTTTTAAGATTATTTCCACAAAAAAAATTTTTTTTAGTTGGGTTTAACAATAAAAAAAAACGGCTTTTTGTAGCGACTCAGAAAACCGGAAAAATCAGTTATCCGGAATAGCGATGGTCCCAATCGTTCCGGATAATCGGTTCCCTACTGTATATATTTTACACACACAGGGAATTTTAAGATATTTTTTTTTATAATCGTCAAAATAGGAAGACTGCATTATTTTCCAGTTACATAACTGCCAACTATTGGATTTTACCAGTTTCCTATGGCCTACTGGTTTCATTAAAATTCTCCTGGTTTTTATACATTTTGGAAAATTCCATAAAATAAAGTTAGTTTCCTAAAAAAATCCCTGTTAAAATGGAATTTTTGTACAGACTTTCGCTTGCTTGCTTGAATACTTAAAAAGTATTACTAATTCACAATGAAGTAAACCTCATTTATAGAAATCACTTCAGAACTTCTTTTTGTTCTAAAGTGTTCAGTTTTTTTTTATTTATTCAGAACTCTCTTTTTGAATTAAATATAAAAAAATCTTTGAATTAAAAGGCCTTTTACTGTTCTAAACGAGGAGTTAACATAATATGTAACATTTTAAAGTCAATCATAACTGGAAAATATTTTAGTTTTTCTATTTTGATGACTCTAAAAATCTCTAAAATTCCCTTTGTGTAAAATATGTCGTACATTATGCAACAATTATCATGAAATTTATATTATTTCGTGAAATCTACTGGATTTTTTTCCTATTCATGTTGGTAGCTATGATTGACATTAAACATACTTAAAATCTTATGTATTGTGTTTACTCTTAATTTCGAATATTAAAAGGTATTTAATTCATACAAGATAGTTAAAAGACTTTTTTAATTAATTTAAAAAGAAAGTTCAGAATGAAAATAAACTAAAAATTTTAGAAAATAAAAAGTTTTGAACTGATTTCTATAAACGAGGTTCGCTTCATTATGTATTAGTAATACTTATTTAAAAATTCAAGCAATAATCTGTACCAAAACTCTATTTCAATAGGAATTTTTTAGGGAATTTTCTAAAATTTACGAAAACTAGGAGAATTTTAACTAAACCAGTAGACCAGGAAAAACTGTCAAAATCCAGTAGAATTGGCAGCTATGAAATTGTATTACTCTGTGAGCACCTGTGAACAAATTAACAAAAATATCGCACATTGAGTACTTATATATAAATGTGTTGAAGTAGTAGCTAAAACAAGAAACTTTTATTTTGATAAATTTGCTATCACTTTAGTTTTTTTAAGGTTGGTAGAGGGTCTGTTTTATACTCATGCTTTTAGCTTTTCTATTATAATTAATTAAATTAATTTTCTAATATTATTAATTAAAGGTACTAAGTTTCTTAAATAGCCAAAATTATCTGGACACACCCGGTTGTTATGGTGGTTAAAGCATATTGTTGATTGTTGTGGTTTGGCCGTTTAGTGTAAATATTGATAACCCAGAATTGCTCATGTGAATGTTGCTATGTCCTACTTGTTTGTCTCAGAGCCTGACTAAGGCAGATGCATACGGGGCAGTTGCCCCTACATCAGAGGGGGCCCCCAAATCGAATAGAAAGTTAATTTTATGTTTCCTTCCTTAAAACAAAGTATCAGTTCAGTGAAAACTCTGTCAGTTTTATGTTTGCTTCTCCATTAATACATTTTTCGTAAATCCATGGCTTTCTAGGGGTCGAATTCAGCTAAACTTTTGCAATTAAGATAGACACATTTGGCCCAACAAAATCCTGTATTTTTACATATCGCAAAATGCGATATGTTTTAAAAAATACAGGCTTCTGATTGGCTTAAGTGAGACATCATAAGTTCGCAAGCTGAGTTCTGCCCTAATGTCAGCAAGCATATGGATTTTTCGCAGCTAGATGACAAAGACAACAATCGAACAAGATAACAATTCGGCACGATGGACATAGAATTGTCAGAAAATCAATGAAATAGACAGAACGATATTTCGTCTGACCTAAAGGGGGGAGGGACACTTTATAGCTATTTTAGGTTCTAGTCTATTTTCTTGTTATCTATGTATAATGAGGTGAACAATTTAAATACCTCCATAAAGTTTGGTTTTTCATGACTAAAGTAGGGAAGCAGGGGGGGGGGCAAAGAAGTTGTGCCCTGGGTCCTGGTTTTTCTGTTGATTTCTTTTGATTTGCAATATTTTTATTTCTAAAAAACTCATTTTAGAATTGTATAAGATATCTACCACTCCCTGCCTAAGGGTTAACTTATACAATGTTTTTTTTTTTTTGTTTTTTTTTTACAAATATTTTGCACCTTTGCCTATCTAATGAAATGTGGATATTATAAAAATTCAACTAAATGAGTCAAAAAATTATTTTCTGTCTACTTTTGAAACACATTACTCATTAAAATCAAAAGAAATTCCTCTTGAATGACTTGTTGCATTTCCTAGACATTATTCTATTTTATCCAAACAGATACTGTAACACTAAACAAATACTAATTGTCCCACTACTTTAATACTAAAATCGAGCTGTTTAACAATAATTTAATCATAAATATTTATTTAGACGTAAAGGAAAAACTAGTGAAATATTAAAATGTGTGGTGTATATATACATATGTATAAAATATAGATATTCTTTTGTGGGTATAGTAGTTATCGACAATAATTTCACGCTTTCGTGTTGCCGCTAGCGGTCGAGTGTATGCTGGCCGCCATTGCGTGTGGTCAAGACTGAGTAGCAACAGCGAGAAGAGGTGGATAATGTCTCAGTCGCAAAGCAGGGTTCGTTGATTTAAATCAGCTTGATTTAAATCAACTAATTTATATATATANAAAAGTTCAAAAACAGTGCTTTAAATTATTGATACTTTTATTATTTTCTTTTCTTAGTTTTAAAATTTATTTTAAATAAATTGCTGCATTAATTAATTTTAGTTAACGAAATTACTTTCTTTCTTGGTGTGTGTTAAACACATTTGAAATTACATGTTTAAAAATCTTTTGATTCTTAACATTGAAAATACAAATTAAAGTAAATATATAATGCTGTCTTAATATAGACTTGCATAGCTGTAGAAAGTAAATAAACATATTTTTTTTCAAAAAGAAAAAAAGCAAATGTTAATTAAAATTCTTCCTTTTGATTAAAAAAACATGAAATTCAAATCTACATTATAGTTTATTGATGGAAATTTCTATATTTCTAAAGCTTGAGGTTATATTAAAAAGAAATTACCTTAATATGCCAAAAATAGAAAGGGAAAAAAAGCTGAGTTCAGATATTTTTTTCCTGATGTAGTGTCATTCTTCCCTTTCAAAGTCTATTTGAAGCAGTAGGATTATTAACTGGTATTTTTTTTCTCATAATATGTTTACGGTATGTTTGAAATTATCAGACTTTCTTTTGTGAAAAAAAATTCCAATGAGTACCTAGATTTTTTTAAAATGTTTTTTAACTTAACTTATGTATTTTGATATGGGATTAAAAATGAATATTTTAATATAAAAATATATAGATTGAATATTTATTTTTTGATGAATGACAACATTTATTAACACAATCTGTTGCATTTATTTTCCATTTTATAAATCATGAGGAAAAAAAAGACATCACAATTTTACATTAAAATTATGGTGTGCTAATTGAAACTTTGTGTTACTAGTTAAAGTAGTATTCTTTAAATTATCTATTTTATCTTGTCTTTTAATTTCAATCATGCCTTTGTATCAAAATGGTCACTATGCATTATAATGAAAAATTATTTTAGTAAGTTAGAGCTTCTAAAATATTGTTATAATATAGTTTTAATATTAATTTAATTTTGATTAAACATTTATAAGGTTTTTTTAATCATAAATTAAAGCTCTTATAGTGTTTTTGAATAGAAATCAAAAAAATCTGATTTAAATCAAAAAAATCCAATTTAAATCAAAAAAATCCAATTTTTTTTTATTTTTTTAAGAAAATCAAAAAAATCACGAACCCTGTCGCAAAGTAGCAAGTCAATTGTTCGAATTGTATTTTTGTAGTGGTAGATGCTCTATATCTTTTTACTTTTATAAATGTTTATATAACTGTGTTTATTTTCTAAATAGGTTCATTTGACGAAGACTGCTACAGCTGGTGATTTGACTAGAATTCGAAGACAGTTCATTTCTTATACAAAAAGCCATACTGTTTCTGATAGTAATAAAATTCCAAATATGTTTGTGCATTATATAAATAAAAGTTTTTAACATTTATTCGACTCTTTTTTTTTTTAATAAATTGAAGAAAAAAAGGAACTAAATCAAATCAAATGGTAGAAAACTATCACCGAAATGTTTTTCTAAAAAAAAAATTAATACACAGGTTGCAGCTTACAGGATAAATATCCAGACAAAACTCACTGGACAAAATGTCCGGTAGTGAACTAATTAATAAGACGCGGTTCCCAGTAGAACACCGAAGTCAAGCGTCACTGACTATGGTCAGTGTCCGGTTGGGTGACCACTTGGATCAATCTATGAGGGTATCGGCCCCCATTAAACTGTTCTAACGTAAAGTGCTCGACTTCGCACAACGCAGGTTGTCGTGCTACTGAAGAGGGGGGGTCTGCGGAGGATCAAAAATGTGATGCCATGTTTTTGGATCACCCTCAGGGATGTTACCCAGACCGTCGCCAATAGCCTATTGTGCAGCTCTAGTGTGGCGTGAACACGCAACGGTAGTTTTTTTTTTTTTTGCAGTATGACAACCAAATTTGAGCTTACAACTTATTCATAGCTTTATTATAACACCAATCAAGATATTTAATGTTCTAAATAGCAAATTTATTTCTGTTTTCTTCTTCTAAATGATGTGTTTTAAACATAATAATGCCCCAAAATATATAATATAGTGATTTTTTAACATTTTCTTAAGAATTGTTTATTTGAGGCATGCAAAACGGCAGAGCATAACTTAATTTTTTCTGTTTAATTTAACTTAACTTTAATGTAAACTAATGAACTTAATTTTAGCGTCCTAGATGCTAACTTTGAATTAGAAGGTGTTCTGTAATCACTCCACCAAATATATAGCTTTAAAATCATTGTCAGAAATGGAGTCCGGAATTAAACGCATTGGGATGACGAATTTACGAAAGGAGGAAAAAGCAAACATACTGATCAAACAAATCAGTTGAACCAATTGTTAGTGAAAATGATCAAAACAAATTTAAGTACCAGACGTCTAATAATCATCTGATATTCCCCCTCCCCCGATATTTACAGTCTCGTTTTCATCAGTAGTGATTTGTTAGATAGCGTTTTTCGTCGCTTGAAAATTAAATTGCAATTCTTAATGTACATTATTTTTTGTCACCAGTTTCAACTTAAAATGTGCATTAAGGATGATTAATAGGAAATATTCATGATATAATTATGTTGATAGCTTTATGTAACAAACAAAAGCACAACAATTAACACAAGCTATTTAACAGCATAAGTAAATTAACAAAATATAGCACCAGTTGCTTAACTAAAGCGCAACACAATGACTTAAAAGTAAAATAGACTTACTTTGTTTGAGTTATTTAAATAAATAAAAATTTGAATGTAAGTTAAAAACTTTTAAGTATGTGGAATATCTTTAGATATCTTCTTGTAGAGACACATTTTGTATCCTAGATACTCATTGTAGAATTCCATGTATTATTATGGTACTTTTTAACTTGAAAAATATATTTTATGAAGTAAAAACCTTATATCCTTAAAATTGTCATTCCCTTTAAGTTTATTTAAAGGCTAGGCTGCAATTCATCACGATATACGAATTAAACATACTTTTTTTTTTTTTACCAATTCCAGACAAGAACCATAAATAAAAGATATCAAGAATTGAAAAGACTTCTTTTATGTCCTTTTTTTTTCCCTTCCATTTCTGGGATGTTTATGGCCAAAAGAAGTTACGAACTTCTTAGATTTATGTTTCTTGAAACAAAAAAAAGTAGTTTTTTTCTCTTGATATTGTTTTAGGTTAAAAAAAAAAAGTAAAAGTTGAAGTGATATTGTTTTAGGTAAAAAAAAAAAAACCTGAAGATTCTATTGATGTAAGGTGAGCAAATAATCTTCAAAAATCTAGACCATAAAGAAGGAAAAAGAAGAGAAGTCAAAATAAACTAAATTTAAACAATTCTCTTAAAACATATTATGGCACTTGGTTTTAATCAAAATATATTTAAAATTAAAGTTATAACGAAATATTGATCACAAAAATGCTGTAAATTATTTACACAAATTAAAATGGTTTAGTTTTGTTTGAAAAAAAACGAAAATAAGTTTAATGCAATTTACAGAAATGTTGCCTAAGTTAATAGAAATATTTTTAATTTTCCAAAATGTGATCAAAGTTCTAATAATTAATAATAACTTATGTTAGATTCCAAGCTGTGACAGAGAAATTGTCACCTTGATGGATCTTAGTACTTACAAACATATATCATCTTAACAGAAGACAAGTTATGCAAAGGATAAAATCATTTTACCCTGCTCACGAAGGATTCTCCTGTTTGCTGAGACTCTATCCATGTTTGTTGAAAATAGCTGTTAGCAGATATCAAGCACCTTGCTTGAATAAGTTTAAAAAAATTGGAAATTATAAGGAACAGCTTGCTCTAAACTATGTGTTTGATGGTCAACGTGGGGAAGGATTCGTTGAGCGTAATGGCGCAGGTTCAAAACCCGGCGGTGGTCAATTTAATATAATGTAAAATAAACAAAAGAAAGAAATTTAAAAATTTACCACATCTGGGATTCGAACCCGTGCCAGCTCGCTCTTGACGAATAACATGCTGCGCATGACGCTAACCATTGAACCGCACTTATACGATATTATAGACCTCATCGGGGGTACCCAATGTGGCCCTCTAGATTACTATGCACGCATATCTAAAATGGTGAGTTCAATCGCTTTAAAATGAGGAAATTCGTCTTCTAAAAACCTTTAAAACTAGGCGATTCGAAGTCATTTTTCAATATTAACGCAAGGCCCAATATCAGTCCTTAATATTGACCCATAATATTTTAATTGGACCACGTATTATATTACCGGGTAATAGTGTACCCGATCGGAGTAAATAATTATATAACTCATAGAAGGTACGCAATGTGGCCCTATAGTTTACTATGTACGCGTATCTAAAACAGTGCGTTCAATCGCTTTAAAATGAGGAAATTCGTCTTCTAAAAAATTTAAAACGAGGCGATTCGAAGTCATTTTTCAATATTAACGCAAGGCCCGATATCAGTCCTTAATATTGAACCATAATATTTCAATTGGACCTCGTATTATATTACCAGGTAGTAGTGTACCCTACCAGAGGAAATAATTATAGACCTCATTGGGGGTACACAATGTGGCCACGTAGTTTGCCATGTATGTATATCTAAAATAGTCTTCTGAAAGGCTCTAAAATGAGGAAATTCGCCTTCTTAATTAGGAAGCTCGAAGTCATTTTTCAATGTTAACGTAAAGCCCGATATGGGACCTTAATATTGACCCATAATATTTTAATTGGACCACGTATTATACTACAGGGTAATAGTGTACCCTGAAACAGGAAAAATTTTAGACCTCATAGGAGGAACACAATGTGGCCCTGCATTTTACTATGTATGTATATCGAAAATAAGTGTTCTGAAAAGCTTAAAATGAGGAAATTCGCCATCTAAAGAGCATTGAAAATTCAAAGATATTTTTCAATGTTAACTAACGCAAGGCGCGATATCAGACCTTAATATTGCATAAAAACAAGGATATTCGAAGACAGTTTTCAATGTTAACAAAAGGCCCGATATCGGCCTTTAAGCTAAATATGCGAGAGGCTGGCATGTAAAGCGTGGCGCAGTTGGTAGCGCTCTGTACAAGGTTCATGTGTAGTCCCTGAGGTCTTGGATTCGAAACTCCGCGAGGGTCAATTTTAAATTTTTTTATTTATTTCATATTATTTTTTTCAATATACTTTTCGATATCATAACACGAATCAAGTGTTCTGTACATAAAATAACTAATTTTTCTTCAGGAAATAGCGAATATTAGCTAATAAACGAATAAATTTTGGATAATTTTTATTTATTCATTTATTTTATTTTATGTTATTTTTTTAACTTCTTTTTCAATATTTTTAAGTGAATAAAGTTTTCTATATATGAAAAGAATTTTTTTTCTTTTCATATATAGAAAACTTTAAGAGCGAATAATGGCTGAAAAAGGGACAAAAGTCATATCAGGAGGCACGCACACATCACACCCCGTAACTCCCTATAATATTAACCTATAAATTTCAAACTCGGCCTGAAATTAGAGTTTAATGTAACAAAAAATTGTGCTAAAGAAATTTTTTATAGACTAATTAGTAGGCCCAAATAGGACCAAAATAAGTTTTGTTGACTAACCTGGTATAGGTGTACTAAGCTAAAAATTCGCGAGGCTATCAAGTGAAGCGTGGCGCAGTTGGTAGCGCTGTGTGCAAAGTTGATGTGTAGTCCCGGAGGTCCTGGTTTCGTAACCCTGAGAGGATCGATTTTAAAATTTTTTTATTTATTTTATATTATTTTTTTAAAAATACTTTTCGATATTATAACGCGAATCAAGTGTTCTGTATATAAAAATAACTATTTTTCATTTGGGAAATAGCAAATAATAGCTAATAAACAAATAAGTTTTGGATAATTTTTATTTATTCATTTATTTTATTTTATGTTATTTTTTTAACTTCTTTTTCAATATTTTTAAGTAAATAAAGTTTTCTATATATGAAAAGAATTATTTTTCTTTGTTAAAGAGCGAATAATGGCTGAAAAAGGGACAAAAGTCACATCAAGAGGCACACACACATCACATCCCGTAACTCCCTAAAATATTAACCTATAAATTTCAAATTTGGCCTGAAATTAGAGTTTAATGTAACAAAAAATTGTGCTAAAGGAATTTTTTTTTGACTAATTAGTAGGTCCACAAAGGACCAAAATAGGTTTTGTTGACTAACCTGGAGTAGGTGTATTAAGCTAAAAATTCGCGAGGCTATCAAGTGAAGCGTGGCGCAGTTGGTAGCGCTGTGGGCAAGGTTGATGTGTAGTCCCGGAGTTCCTTGGTTCGTAACCCTGTGAGGATCTATTTAAATTTTTTTTTATTTATTTTTTATTATTTTTTTAAAAATACTTTTCGATATTATAACGCGAATCAAGTGTTCTGTATATAAAAATAACTATTTTTTATTTGG